TACTTACCCCTCCCCACCAGAGAAATTCAGTGTTTTTTTTTCATTCTTAGCCCAATTTTTAACTAACTACATTACAATAGAAGAGTACAGTGACATTGATAAGGGTGTTTTACTGCGAATTCTGTGATACATATGGATTGTAAGTTTTCTTCAATAAAATATGCAATCAGCCTATCAAAGATAAAGTTCTTGATATCTTGTCAAATTTCCCAATTTTCTTTGGTTTCTGGGGTATAAAAATGTCTTGGGTAAAGAAATATTTCTTTGCTTAAAAAAATATGATTAAAATATTATATTAGTATCTGAAAAGTTGTTTCAAGTTTGAAACCAAATTGTTTCCATTTATCACTTTCAAAAGAAGATACATATGAAAACTGACTAGTATTTAAATTTTACTGTTATATTACTTTTACAATATGTACTTATAACAATACACATTTTTTCACTTTATATAAATATATGTTGAAATTGTTTCCAGATTTGGTGATAATTTTATTCTTTTCAAAGTAATATAAAAACAGAACTTTATTCATGTACATCATTTTTTTATTTTGCATAATAGTTAATAACTGCAACGATATAACTTTACAAAGTGCAATCAGTAAGGAAGCTATTTTTGAAGTCAGTGCAATAAAAATGTAAGTTATATCGACAGAATATCAACTGATTCACAGCAGTTTCACATAAACTTCAAACCTAAAACACCAAAACAGAAGAGAAAATCATGCTAAAACACATGTACAAGTTTATGGAAGTTCAGAAAAAAAAAATTATATTTATACATAATAAACTATTTCTACAAACACCAAAGAGAGGAATTTTTTTCTTTGTAGAGGAATACATTTCAAGTAATAGTTACTTTAATATATTCAGATATGTCATTTACTTTTTTCTTTAAAAACATCATTTTCGTCAATCTTTGCTTAAATGTAAAACAAACATACTATAAGTGGTATTATTGTATTTATTTGTCAGATTGATTCTAAAAAACAAACCTGTATTCCAGATTTTTTAAACGTTTACATTACGTTCATTACACAAAATAAATTCACAGGAGGTCTAAGTGAATATTTTCTTACTTTCAAAACAAGGCACTTTGTCAATGTGTATAAAGTAATTATTAACATCTGAATTTAACTTCAATTGTTTGATTAAGCTATGGTTACTTATGAAGGAAGGATGCATTTTAAGTACTCATATATAGGCATAGGTTATAGTCAAAAGGAATGTTAAGGATGAAAAATGAACGTTTCTATTACAGTTTGAATTGTTAAGTACATAAACAAAAATGATATCAAAACATTTATCAACAGACAAAATTGGTTGTGTGTCTAAAACATTTATAAACCTAGCAATGGTAAAAAGGTTGAAATATTACTTTAACCAGCTCAAAATGAAACATTATTAAACTCAAAAGTTCAATGAAAACTCCTATCAAATTGTTATGATGCATAACAGGACCCAATTAGAAAAAAACTAAACAATTCTCTATTTTCAGATATGACTATTTTTTAACTAATCCATACAAAAGTTTATGTAAACAAAAACAAAATGAACCTTTAAGAATTAAAAGAATACATTTTTCACCACTGGATAATTTTTTGCAAATATAGTTAGTTATATCACAAGATAAATGAACTTACTTAATTGTTTCACAGAGTAAATGTACTATATGGTTTCTTTACACAATATTTATTTCAAGAATTATAAACTTGTATAAATTATTATTGCTGGTCATCTCAAAACTCAATTAACAAATATTGTTACAGAGGAAAATGGTCATATCTGCATCTTTTGGTTAGTTCCAACATTCAACGTTTGAATTTGTGCAGATACTTTAAGAATTAACTATGAAGTAGTCCCTCACCTCCCTCTTCTTCATACAAAAAAATGGGGAGAATTTTTCCATTACTCTCAACTCATTAGTCATTATTTAAATAAGAAAATTTCTTATCCAAACATGACTATATCTTCTTATTGGAATTTTTTTGGATGGTTAGAATAAAGACTTTTAAGAAATTACTTTCTCATTTTCTAGTATTTCTACATTGTCATAAATAACATGTACAAAAAATTCGATTTTTACCTGTAAACTAACAATTTCATAAAGAAAAAAAGTTTTTTAGTTCAGTCCTACCAAACTACATCATTTTCACCTTGTATCACTATTCAATAAATGTGTTACTTATTAGTTTAAACTGTTGCTATCAGAAATTCCAAATCATTTATTTGAACAATATTAATAAAAAAAATCCTAATGAAGTATTTAATATAATATTTTTGTTTAAACAATAGGAAATTAGTATTATACAAAAGAACAAATTAAGAATAAAAGTTACAAAAAAGAAGTAAGTGGAAATTAAAAAAAAAGAAAAACAAAATCAGTGTAGCAGACTTCTGAAGGAAGAGAATTTGCTTCAGAAGCCTAGAAGAGGCTCCTTATATGTATTCATATATCAAAATCACATTTTCAAGACTGAAATTTAGTTAAGTGAATATGTCTTTCAGCCTCCCAAATATCTTTCATTAGATACCTTAATCTTAGAATTTTGTACAAAAAAAAAACCTGATGAAACTAAAATAAATATTTTTGAGATCAACCAATGTTGAAATTTTAATTTTTTTGCTATATAAAATGTATTACTAAAGTATGAGCCAAAAACAACAAAAACTGAATATTTAAGGTACACAATTTTAAACAATGTAGCAAAACCATTAACAAATTAAATCTGAATTCCTATTAAAAACAAAATGAATAAAAATTCTGAACTTCAAACAGGTTGTTGATTACATATATATTAGTATGACTTCCCCCATTCACAATGGAAAAATAAATATTAGAAAACTTTATAACATTTACAGATAAGAACAATGTTTCAGTTATCGAACTTGTGTTTTTGTCCAACTAACCTTACAACTTTACTAACTCAATATGTGGCATTAAAATGACCCTTAACTTCCAGTACTTGTAAACGTTTATATACAAAGAAGCTCTTATTTTAACCATTTTAAATTTCAAAGGAATTTAAGTTGTTTTTTTAAACCAACAAAAAAATAATGACATAACACAAACAAATATTAGGTACTTGCAGGTTGTAACCAGTACAAAATCCTTTGGCCTGACTTTTTAACCTTTGGCACAAAGCAGTTTTTCCAAAATGTTTTATACAGCTTATTCTTCAGTCCATACCAGCAGCAAATGATAACATTACGTTTCTTAAATCAATCATTCTATACAATGCATTTGATCCAAAACCCCACTCAATTCAAGAACTGTTTATCATCAGTTAGCTGCTTTTTTCTAATCACTTTGGTAAAGCATTGGCTGTAAGTAATTCCTATAACATTTCTTTATCACATAGTCGTGCTTTCAGTATTTCGTCGCACATTTGACCTACTTGAAGTTTTTCCTTTTTTACTAAACAAACCACCCAAAAATCCAGGAGCATTTGAAGATTTGCCTGCAGAGGTCCCTGGGGTAGCACCACTTTCCACTATTGTTCTGGTTACTCCAGTAACTGAAACAGTCTGAGGCAAGGAGTCTCTACTTACTGTGCTAGCTGCTGAAGACTGGAATGATATTGACTGAAATATATATGCATATGTTTATGTATAAAAGCATGTTTTAACCAAGTTTCAAAAATCATAATTTATCTATACACTTACTCATCTATAAAAGCTTATATCTAATGTAAGAAAGACATTTCATATTCAAGATTTGAAAACTATAGTAATGTGTATCTTCTTAAGCTTATAACAGGGTTAAATTGTATGAGCTGTGGCCTCAATCTGTTAGAAAGCTAAACAGTTTTATGATTCTGAACATGTGCCTTAGTTTCTTGAATATACAACAGTAAATATAATAGAATCAAATTTACAGGAGGAAGGAATATAAGCAATACCAGTTTTTTTTGTTATGATTATTAGATACTCAAGTTTACATTAAAAGCGGTAAATACGAAATTTGTCATTACAAAAAACAACTATACCAGTAATAATTATGGCAAAGTTAATTACACTCTTAATGCACCATACTTGTAAGATCACAAAATACTCCTAAATTTGAAAAGAAATGACTTTCCAAATAGTGTTAGAAACAACACTATGAGACAGTTTTATCATCCCTAAGCAAATGACATGTGCTGCTTCTATGTTAAGAGTATTTGCCTTAGCAGTAAACAAAATACAAAAAGTACACACTTGTCCCATATGTAACCAAACTTACACTTGATATGCACTTTCAAACCTGGATGTAGATTACAGTATTCTACAGGTTACAATATAGAATAATGATATAGGAAACATTAATTATTGGTTTATATGTTATTCCTAGCCAGAAGTTTACAAAGTTTTACCACAAGGTGACTCCACAATGAGTTAATAAGGACTCAAACACTGAAATAGGAATTAAATATATAAGAAAGTATTTTTTTGGTGTGTGTATGCGTGGGTCACACATCATTCATTCCAAGAATTTCATGTTTACAATTAGGAACAAAGAATTCATGTAAAAAGGGTTTCTTTATCAATAGACTGAAGCCATATATTAATCAAGCCTGTCCTGTTTTGAGTTTATTACAATTATCACTTAATGTATTTAATTTCATCAAATACACATACTACAATTCACATTAACGTATCAACAATAAAGTACAAACAAAATTCTTAGTATAATTTTTATATTAATTTGAGAGTTCTATCAAGAAACACTTTCAAAATATCTCTATATATGTAATACTGAAAAATAAGTATCCACATAGGTTGAATACATTATATACAGTTGTTTGTTTGTTTGTTTTGAATTTCGCACAGAGCTACACGAGGGCTATCTGTCCCTAATTTAGCACTGTAAGACTAGAGGGAAGGCAGCTAGTCATCACCACCCACCGTCAACTCTTGGGCTACTCTTTTACCAATGAATAGTGGGATTGACTGTCACATTATAAGCCCCCATGGCTGAATGGGCGAGCATGTTTGGTGGGACGGGGATTCGAACCCGTGGATTGCAAGTCGAGCGCCCTAACCACCTGGCCATGCCGGGCCTATATAGTTGTTAGGAAGGGTTAAAAGAAGGATTACTAGGATGATCCCTGGGATGGAAGGACTGTCACATGAAAATAGGTTAAGGTTCTTAAAATTATTTTCTCTTGAGTAAAGAAGGGTAGACTGGATCTCACTGAGGTGTTATAAATGGAATAACATTTTTTGTGTTTAAAGGTAGGACTAGGGGACATAGATTTAAGATTTGGCATGAAAGTTGTTTGCAAATTAGTAATTTAATTTTTTGAATAGGATGGTCACTTTTCTTTGGAATTGATTGCCTTCAGATGTTGTAGATGCAACAGTGTGGGAGAGTTCAAGAGAGGGCTTTTTGAGTTTGTGTGAGGTTGAGACTGGATATAGACAGATGAGTTTTGAAATGAATGGGAAAGCCACGACTGGCCAAGAGGCACTTTGCTATCCCTCAAATGCTATGTTATATTAAAATGATTTTGGATATGCAGATAAGCTAGTGATGCAACAATTACAGCCAATATAAAATCATGGTGGTTAGGTATGTATCAGAACAACATTTTGTTTTACGTTGAACAGTTTTGGGAAAAGTATATAATAATACTTTTCAACATAAAGTATTCTTACACCCATATTATAAAGATGTGTACAGATCGAGAAAATTGAATTTCAAAAATGAGGATAACCCTTGTACTTAGTGGTTGGAAAACAAAGTATGGATCAACTTGGGGCATCGTGAGGACCATCCAGAAAGAGACCTGCAACAATTTATACCCCAGTCTTGGTATGAGTGTGGTGTCTTGTAACAGATAAGAATCAAGGAACACAGAGGCCAATGACAACATTATCAAAAAGGATAGACAGGCTACGGGTTCACCAATATATAACTTCCAGTCATACCTCCCATTCAACTATCAGAGAATGAAACTGGTATTCCCACTATTCCATATTAAGATGTACAGAAGGTTGAGTACATTATATAAAAATTATTTTTGAGCCTCACCACATTGTTAAAGTGCTTGTTGCTATGTCCTGTCATGTTAAGTTGTCAGCCTATGGATTTCTATGAGAACGGAATGTTGAAATGAATAATAGGAGAAAACTGTCCTTGTACACCAGATAGAATATGGAATGCAAGTCAGGAGGTGTCAGGGTTTTAAATATGAGTGGGCTGGGATTCTTCTATAGTAGGTGTTTGCAACTTGTTGGCAATAAATTTGAAAATTAAATGAACAGTACACAATCCACTTGTTTTACAATAATATATATTCAAAACAAGTCAAACGCATGTACAAAATGCATTAATACTATAAGAACTCACAGTTTTATCCAAAACTAAATAATTCTTTTTTCTTGTCAAAAGTCCACACAGGCTGATTCAATTACTTTAGAATCCAATTGACAAGATGAATTATTTTTCTCTATTCTTATCACAATAGTATCAGTGAATAATTCATTTATGTTACCCTGTGGGTTACCAAAGTTGTATCCTAAACTTTAAATAATTGTCTACTTTTCATCAAAGTCCACACAGGCGGATTCAATTACTTTAGAACACCCTTTGACAAGACAAATTATTCCCCCATTATTTCTGTTAAACTGTGAAACTCACTTTAAATATCAACTGTTAAGGCTAATCACTTACACACTGGCTAACTTCAAGTTTTCTTTCACTAAATGATTTTTCTTCTTAACTTGTGCTGGCTTAATCACCTATATATATATATGCCTTGCCCAATGGCCTAGAACTTTCAATAAACTAAGAGACACTATGATGTAATAATACTCATATATCGAGAAAATCTTGGAGATTTTGAGAAAGATGATGTCAAAAATACTACAACAATTGAACTACACACACAACGTAAGACTCTTACCGTGTTATGTAACAAAATTTGTTATAACAATAATTTTTAAAATAATCAACTTTTAACCCTCTTGCTATGAAAATAATCATTGAATATTAAATCACTAAATCAACTAAACAATAACTCTTACACTAAACAGTCTTGTATATCCAACAGGAGGGGTGGTGTGTTTTGAACACAACAGCTGTAAAATGTAAACTATGCTGCAGGGCTATTATCCTTTTACATGATCATCAGACACAGCATGGTAGGACATAGCAACAACCACTGTAACAACATGCTGAGGCTCAAAAATAATTTTAACATGATGCACTCAACCTTCTGTATACCTTACAAAGTGTTGTTGCTCAAAATTTTATTTTTGAAAACTAGATATTGTTTGGCAATTTAAAATCTTTTGTACAAAACAATGATTATTAAGATAGTTAACAATACTGATTTTAGTACAACTTTAGCATATGTGATTAGTTAACAATATTGAGTTTAGTACAGTTTTAGCATGAAATGCGATTAGTTAACAATATTAATTTTAGTACAGTTTTAGCATGTAATGCGATTAGTTAACAATATTGATTTTAGTAACAGTTTTAGCATGTAATGCGATTAGTTAACAATACTGATTTTAGTACAGTTTTAGCATGTAATGTGATTAGTTAACAATATCGATTTTAGTACAGTTTTAGCATGTGATCAATAATATTAACAACAAATAATAAAACATAATTTTCTAAGAATGAAACTATTTTACTGAGGTATTACTAACCATTCCACTGTCAAGGGAGCCTGCACTTCCTCGTCGTACTGGTTTGTTTATTTCTACAGAATTGAAAATATGTTAGCACTGTAATCACTATTGTTTTATCAAATTAATTTAGAGATGCAAAAATATTTTAAATGTTACCTTCTTTCCCAAGAACAAGTTTTAGCTTTCTATGAGATATGTTTAGTAATTAGCACCCAATTCACCAACACACTAGAGGATTGTACCCTACCAACTGTACACTCAGATTTAACCTTTAATCCTAACAAACTAAATATACTTGCTTTGAAGAAACTAAATGACACATGTACCAATCAGTATTACAAAGGCTTTAAAGATTAAAAAATAGTCTGTAAATTTGTTTAAATATCAACAACCCAGAAAATAACATTCATATTATTTTACCCTATATTTGGCCACACACCCGTTTTCTTATGATTATCTACACAACTCTTGCAGCTTAAAAAAAGCAATACATTTACAATTTTACATTTAAAAAAAATTCATTCTCTAAAACAAAACTTTGCTAAAATGAGTTCAAATGAGAACTTAAACAGAATTTTGTTATGTTTATATCACAATATTTTAAACTGGAGTATCATTAAAATTTTCTAAAAGAATATCTTAAGAATTAGTTACTAAATCTATTTGCTTAAAATTCAAACTGAGAAAACGATACATGTTAATTATGTTAACCTTGTAAGAAATCAATTCATAACAAAACTTACGCTGTTCATGTAGGTCCAACAGAGAGTTGGACAAAGCAGAACGCTTCAGGTTTGTAGAATGACCACTGGTCGCTTGCCGAACTTCCTTACTTGAAGTTGGAACAATTTCCATATCAGCTACTCCAGAGTCTCTGTTATCCCCACCACGGTTTCTCACAGTCTTCTGTTTCTCTAACTCTGCTTCAATCCTCATGTTGTCCATCTCATCCATCTGCAAAGATGAATTACACAGCTTTTTCAAGTAAGAATCACCAATATTTTAAATAGTATTTCACAAATTTAACTTCTAAACTCAAGTTGGAAATGAAATTACAAAATCTTAGGAAAATTCTTCAATGAAAGAAAGAACTGGAGACAGCTGCCCTATTACTGCTGAAAAAAATTATACCTAAAACTTGCATTATTTTCTAGTTATTGTTGACACTCAATAAAATGTAAAATTTAATAGGCAGCATAAAAAAAAGCATTTACAATTATTTCAATGAACTGTCAAACTCCTTTTTCATCCCAAATAGTGCACACATTTACATAACATCAAATGGTGAACTGATTCTTTGGAGTCCTTTGGAACACCACTTTCCTAACCCCCAAATTCTGGTTACACCATTGATTTCCTGTCCATACAATCCAAATCCTTTCTTCATTCCCAATTCATAATTAGGTCCAAATCAGCACTAGAACTTGTTTTACATTCACATACATATATCATTTGTGTCATCAGATCACTTACAGCTTGTGTGTGTGTGTTTGAATGAAACACTATTGGTTAAAATTGACATTCAATCTTTTCTGTACTTAACAATGTGTTTTCCCTTAAAGAAAAAAGAAAGAGAGTTGCAGCAAATACTTACCTCTAGAATGGATTCTTTTAAATCTTCTACAAACTTTGAACGATCGTGTTCATTCCTGGCATTGAATGTTATTAGTACTTTATCATCCACTCTTTGACTAAGCCTAATACCATATTGATAATCTGTAGAATTAAGAAAAAAATAAAAGTATTTAACTTCATACACTTTTTCTGTGTTTTTTTTTAAATTGGAGGAAAATATTTAATCTTTTTTATAATGCCATCTACAATGGCCAAATACACAAATGAAATACAATTACAAAATAGTGTTTAATCTATGTCATAACAGGGTCCAATTCAATAAAACACTTACAGAAGAAACTATTAAAGTATAGCTGTACCAACCAAATATCAACCATTGTCACAGTTAGTAGCTACAATCACAAATCTAATCATTAGGAACTTATTAACTTGGAACTAGGGTCGAATCCCAGCACCTACCACCAAAAACAGTCCTTCTCAGGACTTCCCTGGAAACAGTACCAGATTAGTAGCTGAAATGTAGGGTATAAACTAATTAATAATTAGTATCTAGTTATAAAAAAACAGCAGCTAATGAATAATTAGACTAAGCTGATCATATAAGCTACTAACCATGGTTTACAATGCAGCTAGTTTTGTTCACCTTGTTATATCAGGTAAGCAGTAGCACTGCCTATGTAGGGATGGCTTGGATTGTTCATTGAAATGGTATTTTAAATATATCCTCAATAGGTCATCAGAACTTTACTATACAGTGGTTTCCTTTTATAACAATATCTATGTAATGACTGAGTCACAAGTTCTGGGAATGTCTGAAAATATTATAGCAAAAAGTTTTAATTTCTTGTTCTTCTGCTTCTTTTTTATTACATGATAATAAAATAGTGGTGTTAACCAATTTGACTGAAGTGGCATAAGTTTAAATGAAGTATCCGCTTTTATAATTATTATTAATAACTAATAGTAATTTAAAATTATCATAATTCCAGTGTAAACGATGTTATCATTACCCCCTTGAAGTTAGCTTTCTTACAGAAGTTTGGTGTTCCTTTAAATAGCTAAGTACAGGATGAAACAGGAATTACCAGCTAATAACAGATAAACAATAAATATTATAGTTGGAACCTCGTTGTATTTAGAACTTGGTTATAAATACAACTTTCCTATATCTATTGAAACACTGCATTAAACGAAAACAAGCAAACAGTAAAGAAAAAAACT